AGATTTCTTTTTTCATGAATTTTCTGTAATTCATTCCATATCTCTGTGGCTGTTATTTTATTTCTTATGTGTATAATTTGGTTGTCTTCTACGAGTAAACTTTTGGTAGCTTGTGCTTGTTCATTTTGTTTAGTCCACTCAGCATTGATTTTTTGTGGTGTATCATTTGCAATTGAATCTCATAAATTTTCTGTTCTCAGAATCATTTCAATTGTGTATTTCCATTGTTGATAGTTGTTATTGTTTAGTTTCATAATTGAATATTTAGTTTTGAAGCTAGTAGCCATTTATTTCTGCTTCTGTTTTTCGAATGCATAGTACACAACTATGTTAGTTTTGTTTTGCTTTTGAAGACAGGCTTGGCTTTTCTTTTTTGGATTATCCAGTGGTAATTTATGGCAGTGTATCTTTTCTGTTTGTATTTTTATTCTTAATACCTTACCTCACTATGTTTTGTGCGTTTGTAAGTAAATATGCAGTCAGTCTCATGATCAAATATTGAAGGTTTGCACAGTTTATTTGTTTACTATTGGAATGCACCTTATTCGAGATTAGCAGATAAATAAAACAGAATCAAAGTTCTTACTTCTTAAAGCATAATCCATGCTGCAAATATAAGGAATAGGATCATTATTATTAGCACCAAAAAAAAAATATTTATTAGGTATGAGAAGAAAACATTATCTAGTGATAATACAAGCATTACCTGTTCATGATAGAGTGCGTAATAATGAGTCACATAAGGAGAGAAGTTTCTCCATCTTTTTGGATTGAGTCCAACTCCAGTTATCGAGGGGTAGAGTAATGTTGGAGGGTACAGCTTAATTGCTTTCGCTCCACAGTTAGTATGTAACACAAAGTATGTTCTGTTCAACAATGAAGCTTTCTTCATTGTCTTTCTGACTTCTGAGACAATTTATGGGTAAAAATTTTTTTTAAAGACCCATGAATCAGACTGAAAGAGAACTTATACAATATTAATAAACACTATAGAGTTGTTTCCTTGGTCAACTTGTCTGTGTGTAAGAAAAATAAAGAATATGTAAAAGATTAAATTAGCAGCGCAAATGAGTTTCCCTTCTGTATTCTAAAAATAGCAACATCTATTTGCACTGCGTCATTTCGAGAAAAATCTATGTCATGTGACTCTTATGTAATTCTGGTGATGTAAATTGAACTAAAGCAGCCAATAATAATTTTACAGCAATATTAACTATCCAATCAAAATGCTTTGAGAACCAAAACTAACTCAGTTTGACTTAAGATTTTATCCTGAACATTACGCGTTTTCTTTCTACGCTTTGCTTTAGATGGACTGCAGTTTGTCTGCTTCTTCTTTTTTTGCTGCAAATCTATAAAAAATGTAAGCCCTTTGGAGCAGGCACATTTAATATGCCGACTTGTGTGTAGCCGCAACATGTTGCTGAAAATAAAACTGAAGATTTAATCTGCCTTCGTCTCTAATTTCCTAGTCATTATGGATCAATACTTCTACACCATCAAGGTTCCTGCTCCTGAATATATTACAATTGGGGGGGGGATATGTAAGATATAACAAATATGATAGCTGTTTCAAAAAAATAATTGGCGACCTCAAAATTAACATTCTAAATTTGGTGATCTGTCCCTAAATTCATCTCTTCTCACAGGTTCCAGATTTTTTAATCTTATGTAACATTTTAATGCAGATACCTTTTGTCCAATCAAATTAATTGTAAACTGAAACTTTTCTGACTCCCACCCTTCTTCCTCTGAAGTTCTGATACTCTTCCCTTTTCCGCATAAGCTCTCCTGCTGGCAAGATGCTTTTCATGTATGCTGCTGCTTACTTGCTTAAGATGACGTCGTACTTCAAATTGGAACGTACTTTATTCAAATATAATTAGGAAACATCTTATCTGCAAAATGATGGTTTGTTATACGTAAAACAATAAAGATTGTGATTTTTCAAGATGCGTTGTGCTAAAATTGCATCATCATGCTTTCCACTCTGCCATCTTCAAGCCACTACGATCTTCTTGGTCATCTACACAGTATCTAAGCTGTTAAAAGTTCCACTGTTTTCATCTACATATTTTAAAATATTACACATATACAGTCAAAAGTCTTTAATTCGGACTCGTCGGGACTTTGGCGATTCCGGATTATCGATTTTTCCGGATTATAGATCATCAGTTTAAATCTGGTAAGATGGCACGCAGAAATTATAAAATTAAAAATATGAAACCATAATTTATAAAATAATGAGCAATTATGATCTAAAGGATATCAAAATTTACAAAAAAAGAAGCTTAATATTTATTTGTTTACTTTATTAAACATTTCTTTCAACGCGCGCATGAGTACCTTACACATAGCCGAAATTAGAAAATTGCAACCAGAAAACTATTTGATTTGTATTCGTTATATTTATAATGACGAGAAATTTGATTTAAATCATATCAAAGACGGAGTACATCAAGATAAAATACTACATTTAGTAAGGAATTATAAGCCGAATAAAATAAAAACATCTGCCCTGAAGATAGCGATAGTGGTGACAGATCAACTTCCAGTTCATTGCGCGCCGCGACGCCCCCCCCCTCGCAGAGCAGCGTGAAATTGATAAACAGATTTCGGAACGGTTAGATAAACAAAGGATATGCCTTTATCCATTTTTTGCAGCAATTTGTTTTTTGTTTGATGGACATCGAAACATACTTTCGTTTTCTAGATCCTTTGGGAGCTCCAGCATCGGAAATTCTATTTGACATAATCGAAAGTTCAAGCTTACTTTTATAAAATTGCTCTTACAGTCTGCAAAAAATAATAAGCCGGATCCAATTCAAAGATTAAGGAACAACACAATCATCAACATTAACTGAAATAGGTAATTTTAGCTTATACCGTCCGTTATACATTAAACGCGCACGCGAAAACGTATTCTGCGCTTGCGCAGACGCATATGCGCAATCGTAAGTGGCTTGCGCGCACGCGTAAAACGCCTATGAGCATGCGTCAACGCGGTGCATGCGCAGAAAGATTTTAGCTTTGAGGTCCAGATTATAGATCATTCCGGATTATGGGTGTCCAAATTAACGACTTTTGACTGTATATATATTTACTAAATAAATATTGATTATATTATCTCCTAATATAAATTTAGTAGAAGTATCAAAAAAAGAGGGAACCCATATGTAGGAAGTTTAATTCCGAAAATTGTGTTTTAAAGTAACTTGGATGTAAATTATGAATCCTACACATGGGTTGCCTCTTTTTTGATACTTCTACTAAATTTATATTAGGAGATAATATAATCAATATTTTAGTAAATAAATTATTATTATCTTACTTTGCAGCTATTGTGCAAGTATTAGGAAAACTTGTTTTCGAACTAAGTAAATTTTAGATCATGTCACTCTTGTTATTGGAATACCATTAAGTCTATAAAAGCCTAGTGGTAGTACAGCAGCATTGAACATTAGGTACATGGTAAAAACATATGCTAAATAAGCACTTCCTAAACTTTTTCCATTTGTCACCCCTCTTTATCATGAGATTTTTTTTGCTACCCCAGATATTAAATATAAAATAAAGATATAAAATTAAATATCTTCCGGTGAATAATTTACTTCCTTGGTAAACAGTATACATATAAAAAGAAGTAGTTTTAGGATTTATTTTAAGCAAACAAAAGTTCTAATGAGATAGTTGTGCTTGTTTTCCGCTGCATAGCAGATTAAATGTCAGTGCGATACTGGAGGTTATCACACCAACACTTACATGCTGGAGATACGTACTTGCTGGAGGATACTTACATGCTGGAGGTAAAGTATCTTCAATATGTTTCAATTTGAGAGACATTTGATTTTAATTAAAGCTGAAAAAGTAGTTTTATAAAAATATGGGTTGCTAAATGAGAGAAGAACATTTAATGCCGTTTTAGAAATAGTGAGAAATCTATTTCTAACACTGATCCAGAATTCATCAAGAATTTTTGTGAAAACTCAAGTTTTAAATTTGAATTGCTAGATAGTTTTACAAATTCTTTTTGCTTTTTATATGGCAGGTAATTAATCTCATTTATATCAATTAATGCAATGTTTTTAAAAGTCTAATCTCATTAATGTCAATTAATGTTATTTCTTTAAAAGTTTTATCAATACAGTTTCTTTAAATTCACCTATCAAATTGATGCGACAACAATAAATTGGCGGTGAATTTCCACGACCCCAAAATTTCGATTTGCGACCGCATTTGGGGTCACGACCCTTAGTTTAAGAAACTCTGTGTTAAATCATCACTACATGGGATTTTGTTACTTTGTTAAAAAAAAAAAAAAAAAAGGAAAAAGAAAGAACAGCAGATATTTCAACATTTGATTTTAGAAAAATATTAATTTTTTGAGGAAAATAAGATCACACATTTGGTAAAAACTATTTTAAAATTTACATACTATAAAATTATGTTGTGAATTACAGTGTTGTAGTATGAAATACTTTTATGTTAATTTTAATAAATCACATCAGATGAGAAGGAAAAAAAAAATATGGAAACTGCTCGTATCGATAATCATAAAGTATTGGAGATGTGTTTGCCAAGTTTCAGCAAAGAAATTTTGAATAATTCCAGCTCATGACTCAAACTGAAGTAGGATATTAGGCAATTGTTGCTACGGTGGGTAATTTAAGTGACATATGTTTGTAAGTACTTCATGAGACTTATGTGTGTTTTTTGTAGTAAAAAAAAGCAGACTCTTGTTTATGTGACAGATCAGAAACCCTCTCAGAAAATAAAGATTTTGATACATATCTAAGTTAACAGAAGAAAACCGAACATATTATTAAAAGAATGTTATTAACAGGAATTAATCACATTCTTTTAATCTAGTGTTATTTAAAGAATGGTTGCAAGAGGGAGGCAAGAATTTTATGGCAAATTATGACCATTTGGTGCCGACCAAAATTCCCAGTAGTAGTTAAAATTCAAGTACCTTATCCTTTTTTATTTTCTATACATAGAAAGAAATATCTCAGTACGATTTTGACTTTCGAGAATGGCCTATTGATTTTCATTGGAATGAAAGTTCATTGTAAGTTTAAATACATTTCATGTGTATATAGATATATAATTTTTTACTATGTGATAAAAATTCTAATAATAATTTTTTTTTTAAATTTGAATTTATTTTAGAGATGAAAGCAAGCCTAGAATATACATTGAAAAAAGCTCACGAAGAATTACTATCATGGAAAAATTTCGAAGTATTCCGTGTGGTTTTTTAAGGTAGTATTTGAGTAGATATTCTAAGGTAGTAATGTATTCATTCAAAAGCTTCAATTTTTTTATTGATTGTTCATTTATTGTGGTTTTTATGTCAGTTACATTGCAATTCACACATTTGGAAGAGTGATGATTTATCCAGGTTCTATGGGTCTTCTAAATATGTTATTTGGTGAGCCATTTTTATAACTATCATAATTTTATGATTTTATATTTTATAATTTTTTAAAATTTATGATTGCATATAATTTACCTTAATTTTTATTTATGATCATAATATTATTTTGAAAAATGCATTGTCATGGTCTGAAAGTAATTTGAATGTAGATGATGAGTTTAAATTGTTATAAATGTCATTATGCAGTTTAATAATAATTTTTTTTAATACTTCTTAGCACCTTTGCTTTTGAAAGGAAGAGCCAAGTTAATAGAAGATGTAAGTTACTTACAGATTTTAACTTTATTATGGAACATATCAAAAAGGAGATTTCATTGTATAGAAACTTTATTTAAGTTGAAATATGTGCCAGTTGTTTTTCTTTTAATTAGAAAAGAAATGTGCTATTACATTGTTTATTTTATTATTATGTAACTCAAAAGTGTGAAATACAAGTATAACCTAGCTGCAAACTTTCCCTGACTCAGTGAAAGACTCCTGGTTTTTCATTACATCTCCCAACCTCCTGATAGATCATTGAATCTTACATCAGTGGCATTTGCTTGCTCTACAGAAAAACTATCCACCTTTTTTGTATGTTCATTTGGAACTGTATCATTTTTGCAAAAAAGCAGTTGTCATGCCAACAATGTGAGAGGGGGTAAAACAGCTTAGCTTTTGACTGCCATTATAGTCTTCCCACAAGCTCTGTATAGGGTTGAAGTCGAGATTATGGAGCAGGGTCGTTCACTTCTTCAACATTCATTTCAGCAAACTAGCTGTGTATAGCATGCATGGATGGAAGAGTAATCATGCTGAAATAGAAATAGGCCATCGCCAATCTGTTGCCACATTGTAGGCAGCTTAGAATTATCTAAAATATTAGGATATGTGTTTGTGTTAAGGGGATAATATACTTGAACTATGATAAAATCCCTAAACTTTTATGCTACTATCACTAAACATGTGGGAATATCCAAGTATTTTTGATCACATAATATAAGTATGAAACAAAAATTTTTGGTTTACTACCAGATTAGACATCTTTCAGTTGCAAAAAGCTAAAAATTGTAGATATCTTTTGTTAGTAAAGCCACTTAAATGTAGAAACTTTGAATATACAGTAATCTATAGTTCAAATGTTACCTTGTTCATGAAATCCCAGTGTCCTGAGCTGACAGCATCTATTTATTTTGCTAGTAATAGATCCACAGCCAAATTGAAAAATCATTAATAATTTTTCCTACCAGTTTTATGTGGTTCTTTTTAAATTTAATAATTCTTCAATTTTTTGCAGTCTGCCCATCAGATGGCCTGGTCTGCTTGCTAATGGTTGTATATTTCAAGTATTGATGGCATAATTTACACTGAAACTGAACATGTGTGAAAAAAAAAAAAAAAAAAAGAACTCTGTCAATTTGTCATACTGACATCGTATCGGTTCTCTCCATTTATAGTCTGTTGGGCTGTGTTTTCCACCCATTATACAATCTGTAGCTTGTAGTATTTTTTTACCTTTCTAGCCACATTTTATATCTATTTATGCTTGTGATGTGTAGACTCCAACTACTATAGATTCTCCATAGTTTCTGTAAGAATTACTTAAAAATTTTTGCTACAGAAAATATGAAAAAAATATTGATGGAAGTATCAGAGTAAAACAAACTTATTCTTACTTTAGCAATATGGCCATGTATTCATATATCACTTAATTGAGAATCTTGCTGGCTTTTGAGAGTAGTCATTTGTATATCTGTAAATCCGTACCATTAATCTTTCCGATCTAAGCTCACTATCATTAAGGTTTGTTTACCCTTCAGGCCAATCTGTTCCATTTGTTTCGTTTATGGTTAAAAAAATCTGATGTGTACACCACATGACTTCCTTGTACGGACTATTAAATTATATGTAATTTTTCTTGCATTTCATTTAAACTTATTGGATTGAATGAAATCTACTTTGTCTATAGCGCATAAACCACAATAGAATAAATGCACTCTTAATTAAAAACTTCACTTCATTCAAATTCTCTATATTTATTTACCATAACGACACTCTAGCGCTAGGTTCATTTAACAGCATTATATTTCATTCATATTATACCTCAGAATGCAACAAATTTTATATCATTTGAAGAATTATCTAATTGTTGCCACATGTTCTATTCAAATACTATAATAAATCTAGAATGATGTATAAAAGAAATTAAGCAAACAAAACAAAAAAGAAACAATTTTTCACAGACAATTTAGTATTTCTCATTCAATTAATTCAGTTCTCACTTCGCAACAAGGCAAAAATACATGAAAACTCAAAATATCTATATTAAAAATTACGAAGTAAATCTTAAACACTTATTTCCTCGAAAAAATTCCAGAAAGGATTAAGCATGATTTAATTGATAATAATAAATGAAGGCGTTATTTTTGTTGTTGTGAAGCTAAGTTTCTCTAGATTGGCAACAAATCCACTAGTCTGCTGTTTGAAATGTAAACAATCAATGGTTGCCATAAAAAAAAAAGGCTTAGCGGCAATTAAAGAACTTTAAAATTGTTGATAATTCTAAAAATATTGCATACAGATATACTAAAGGCATAAAAACCTTAACCGGAAGATAAAAACAACATAATTCAATCATTTTTAAAGCAAAAAATGTACAATTTACAAACATATAAGAGTAAGGAAACTGAGATCGCTGAGCCGGGTAACAGAGTGGATATACATATAAATATATTTATATACGTTTGGTGCGGCCAATTGTAACCAAAATACGAGGTGCACATCTACATGTTACAGCAGTCCTATATACCAAATTTCAGTGTTCTGAGGCTACTCGTTTTTGAGTTAAGCGAGATACATATGTACTTACTTACATATGCTTGTACAGACGCCACAAAAAATTCTCTTCAAAGTTCATTTTGAAGCAGTTTTATAATTTTTTTGAAGAAAAAGAGTCTTTTATTCTGTCCTTACATACAGATGTCATGCAAAAACATCGTTAAATTGCATTTGATAGCGGTCAAAATGGATATTTTTGTTGAAATATGCTGCCTGAAACTTTTCGCGGTTACAATACTTTCTTTTTAGTTCATACAAGGAAGTAAAAAGCATGTGTTTGTTGTGAATTATTTTTAAACTGGAAGTTTAAAATTTGTGCTACTTCAAAATTAAAGGCTAAATTACTCAGCCAGAAATTTAAAGACTTGTCTTCTTTAGAATTTTCATGCATTAAAACATCTTATCATTCATATTGCATTACATGCAACAAAGATTTTAAGCTGCACATAGTGAAAAAGTGATGTATTTTCTCAAAGGCGTAAAGAAATTAGTGCAATAAAATCGAAAGCAGTATCAACTTTCTTCATAAAAATTGATGAAATAATCTTGTTTGAATTTTAATCGAATACAACTTTTCACTTTCAACTTTGTACCATTTGAAACAGCTTTTTTAACACAGTGTTTTTGGATTTCTGCCATATAAAAAAAATTTAGCTGTAGGCACACCAAAACAGCATCAAAAAGTTATTTATAAATTACAAATGTTTGGATTTGTAATTTATAAAAAAATTATAAGCATTTGTGAGGATTATGTATATATTTCCTCTCTCTATCTAGGATTTTTTTTTCTTTTTTCCTACAGAAATCAGAATGCATTGTAATTTATGGATTCTGGTTTCCCCTTTGTATGATTATTTGTGATTTAAAATAATATTAACTTCAAAAACATAATAGTGGATTTAGTGATATTTCTGTTTGAGGAATAAAATGAACTACTAATTAAATATGTATATAATTTACAAGAAATATTTGAATTTTTTTAAATACTTTTAATTTATGGATTTTAAATTAGACATAGAGTTGTTAATATTTAAAAAATTGTTGTTCATGTATTAAATTCTGGCAGATTTTGTTCTAGGTTTGAATCTGTAGTGATGTCCACTATGTCTTGGGATTATCCAAATATTCTTAGTCATATTCTGAGTATGTATTGATTTGGGCGAAAAGTTTTACTGATTCTGTAGACATAAACTGTGATTAAATTATTTATATCACATTCACTGCTGTGATTGGAATTTTTGATCAGCAGTTATGGAAGAGTGGAGCATATGAAGTGTGTGGTTTTTGTCAGAGTAACTCATGAGTTTATATAATAGTATATATTACTGGTAGTTTCAGGTATTCTTGGACGGAAACAAAAATTTTAACAGTCAGTCACATTTTGGATATCCATCAATTATTTCTAAAAGAGTTATAGACCCAAGCATAACAAATGATTTACATTTAAGAAAGGTACTCAGTATGCCAAGTAGCAGAATAAGTTGGAGATGCTTGAATTTATGATCACTAACTTTCTGCAAAGCAGTGTGAGAAGAGAATTAATACATTGTTCAGAAATGTACTATTTTTGGAATGAATTGTAACAGGAGATGAAAATAGATATTGAATAATAATAAAATGCGAAAAAAGGTTTTTGACCGTGATTTAAATTCAATATTATTCTATGAGAAAATGTAATAGGTATAACACTACAGGCATAAACTCTATTACACTGTAACTGTAATAACATAATGTTACAAGAAAATGTAACTGAGCTGAGAAATGAAAATTTACTGTTATGAAGTTATTTCATTTATGCTTTAGATAATCAGTAAAAAGAACGTGACTCTTGTATGACCCTAAGTCCTTAAAACTTTTCTCTCCCACATACACACTTTAAATTATCGGGCCCTGTATGAGCCCCTTTTTAATTTTTGTAAATATAGGATGTGATATATCATTGTGCTTATAAAGAAAGGTCATTAAACGATTTTATATTTGATACACCTCAAAACCCTTTTTCTTTTTTCATCCTCCTAAGGCTTTATAAATAAAGTGGCAGTAGCCAGTTTTTAATTTTTCCATAAATAAGGTAACAGTATATAATTTTGTTTGAGAAGAATATCTCTATTAGAGGTAGAGGAATAACTCTATTCTGTTAGAAGCTATTAGTCTTGGCAGACTCCAAGCCCTTCTTTATATTGTCAAACTTCTGGGTTCTATAGAAATCCCTTTCATAATTGCAATGTAAACAAACAAATGTAATATAAATAAACACTCTCATCCCACAGAGTAAAGAAAAATGATAAGCTAAGTTTCCAGTAATGCTGAATAATGGTGTGCCTCATGTGGGAGCTGGTACAATTTATATACCAGTCTTAAGAATAATTAACTAAATAGGTTTCTACTCATTAGTTTTGATTGAAATGTGTCTCATATTTTTTGTAGATTTTGAATTTCCCCTACTGAATTTTGAAATATGAGACCTTGGAATGGACACATTAATTTGATAGCTGCAAAATATTGAACATTGATAGAGTAGCTTTGCCATTTAATATTGAAAGGTTATACTAGAAACCCAAGATTACAGCTTTTGGTGTTAAAAAAATTGACAATTTTCCATATGCCAAAATGTTTAATGCTGTTTTTATCAGCTGACAAAAATTACTGAACTTTTGCTAGAAAATATAATCATGTGATGCATTTTCTCAACCCTACACCTGTATCACCTTTTTATATCATTCCAGAGTCTTAAACATTTGATGATGTGAGGGATGTAGAGATAATGTTACAAGACTGTTAAGTGTAGAAGAGAGTGAGAGTTGTATAAATCTACTACCAGTTAGATAACAAGAGGTCACACGTAATGATGATAGTTGCATGAAATTAGAATTACTTTACTTTTTGTATTCTTCTTCATTCTTTTTTTTTTTTAATCAACAGAACTTTTGCACACACCCCATAGAATAAATGCGTGCTGTTATTTAATAATTTTATAACAGTATTTATTTATTTTTTATTTTTTATTTATTTATTTTTTTTAAATATACAAATACCTAATTTTAGTTTTTCTCTGAAAATATGCAAATACCTAATTGTAAACTCAGATGCTGAATTTCTTACAACATTTTATTAATAATTCCTTACCCATATAATTTTTTTTTATTAATGTAAGAATTTTTAGTATGATAAAATCATTTGAGTCATTCATATGTATGATGTTTTTAATTGTGTAAATGATATGTTTATGTTAAACAGTTTTTGATACAATGTTTCTTTTAATTTGTATTTTTTGTGCATTATTTGCATTTAATATAAATACATAAATGTTTCAGTATAATGGTGAAAGATTTAAACTACTGACAAGAGATGGAAATGAAATTGATTCAATGCTTATTGACAGAAGGCAAAACAGCAGTTTTCCTAATGGAAATATTTTGGTATAGTATATATTATTCAATACTATAAATATTGTTTCTGTAATGTAATTTTTATTGATTGCATATTTCAAGAAAATTTATTAATAATAACAAAAATATGTAAAAAAATTGTTATTGGATTATTTCTGATATGAAGCTTTAGAGAGAGGTCTAATCATCAAGAGTAAAATAGGAAATTCTTATTGTAAACTCTGATGCAGTAGTTTGTTATGATTGAATCTCCTGATCTGAACGTAATCTAGATGAGGTTCATGAATTCATGGGAGTTAAGAGGGAAAAGTTTGCATCTATTTTTGTCAAAGCCTCCGACATTTTATAAAGATGACAGTACAAGTTTGCTCAGCTTCATCCAGTTTTGATAAAGAACATCTTCTAAGACAGATCCCCAGTTTCCTATTCCTTTTTTTCTACCACAAAGCCTTGAGAGGACTTTTGGGTTTATGTTATTTTAAGTACCCTATGTCGCAAAGACAGTACATTCATAAATACCTATGGTTTCTTTGGAATTCTAACCTGAGCTAATGCTATGACACCTCTACCATCATGCCAAACAACGTATTTTAGTGTAATAGTTACAATTCTATGGCATAGTCATTATTGAGTGATATAAGAATTTCTGAGGCAAATTATTCAATTATACTGATGTAGTATTTCAATATAGAGCATGTATGGCTTGCTTTTGTTTCTTTTTTGGTAAAGGACTTCAAGCTACAGTTTTTCTCCATGTGTGCTCAACATTGTTGAGAACCTGGAAATCATGGAATTGACTGACAGTTTCACTTTTTAGAAGATTCTCCACTTGTTCTAGTGATTTTACCGAATATCATATTTGGTCAACTGATCATGGGCTCATTATCTGGCAAGTGCTGCTTAGTGTAACATTAGTCATAATACTACACTTTTGCTTGTTACGACTGATGCCACTGCACTGCCATCCCAACTTTGGCATAAGGATAGCTTTCTTATGTACTTTCCTGTTTGTATGTCTGCCCCTTTCATACTCCTAATAGAATGCCATTTATCTGTTGAAAAATGGAATCTTTATACTGAATGTAGTTACAAAACAGTCCACAATTAAAGAAAAATTTTCAGTTGTCTTCTGTAATTACCATCAGCATTTCAAGAAAAATTGTGGGAAGAGAGACCGTTGTGAATTTCTGTTAATGGAAGTGATATGTATAAATTCTTAAAATTGTAACAATTAATTTCTTTTACTTCAAGATTTTTTTAAGTGCTGAAAGGACTGTAATGTTGTTATTAATAATCTAATTGTAATAGTATTCTTTATTTGCTACCACAAAAATAATTGCACAATTTTTTTTTTAAGCTTGAGAGCAAAAATGCATTCAGTTGCCTTTTTGTAATTTCTAGTACCATTTGCAGTAAACCAGAATTTTACTGGAGATTCGTGGAATTTTGGTAAAACATAAACTTTAGAAAATTTGTTACACTCTGCAAGGACAAAAATCTTGAGTTTTCAGTTAAATGCTTTAACCTTGCTGATAATAATGGAAGCACTGGTTTTAGTAATTTTGTAAGTAATCATTGGCAAAGTTTATTTTTTTGTAAGTGTGCCATAATCCCCCCCCCCAATCAGTGGTCCTGAAATTGTTGCTAGCTATGTCATCTTTGGTTGTTGTAAAATTCTGCCCAAGATCAACAACTTTATTTTAAAATTCATTCTTGTGGAGGAAACCAGAAAATTTTTGAAACTTTTGATAGCTTTATTTCAATATGTTTTAAAACAGATTCTTTCCATTCTAAAAATGTAGTAGTTGGAAGATTACTTTTATAGCTATATTTAACAATAAATTCATTAATGTCTTTTTCAACAATGCTGGGGGAATGCTTTTTGTTAAATTTGGAGACTGGTCTAAATTTGGTTCCTAATTTCATGAGCTCTCTGCATTTTGTGTCTCTGATAATATTAAGAAGATACTCTGTGATAATATGTCCATATTGTTGATCAATGTAAGAAAGACTTTACCTGAAAGTCTTTCTTATATTGATCAACACCAATATTGCATTTGGACCTAAATCATAGTGCTTGGTAAGCATATTGCTTTAATTCTTTTGGTATTTAAAGCAAAGAACTACTTAAGAATTGAGCATTAAGAAGAGATTTTGATATGCCCTGAAGATTTTACTAAAATTAATTTTTATTGAAGAAAGAATGAGGAAGATTAATTTTGTGGAATAATTTGTTATCCATAGTTTGCTAGATTTCAATTTATATTTACAAAAGTCAAGAACTATGTCTTTTAATAAAAAGTACTCATTATAATTATTATTGAAGAACTTTTAAATTAAAGTTAATAAATTAAGTAAAATAGTTATTGAAAGTGTGGGGTAATTTAAAACTATTTTTAATAAAATTGTTAGAATGAAATAATTTGTTAAAGCTATTTTGCAGTAAAAAAGCTATAAAGGTTGAATGAAATCCTTATTCTTTTCTACCACTGCTTTTTCCTCTTTCTGTTTTCGTACTAAAAAGCTTAATTTGTCTTTAATTAGTTAAGTTATTATTAACAGCATATCCTTATGTGTGTGTTAAGTAGAGGGTAAAATAGGGGTAAAATGTTTTAAGTTGTAAAGTAGAAATTGGCTCTTTTAAAAGCCTGTCTTTTAAATTATGAACTAAATCTAAAATTGCAGTTTTAATATTATTGAAATCATGATGTTGAAAATGTGATAGTCCTGCAGTTGCTTGGTCTATATTATTAAACTTACAGTAAGATGCTTTTGAAATTTCTTTATGTGGGATAGATGATTATTTATTCTAAGATTGAGGAAATTCTTAGTCTGGCCTATATATTTTTAATTACAAATAGTACAAGCGATTTGGCAAACGCATTTGAATTTCTTTCAAAGAAACTGTTGCTTGTGAGCTAATGGATTATCAGGAGTAATGTTAAACTACAAGTTTTTCATTTAGCTTTATTACATTTTAGAATATTAATATTAGTTAAACAAATCTTAAATAAAGTCGAAGAGGCTAGCCTTCGTTACAGTTAGATTTTTAACGAAAAAACTTAAACCAAGTTGCTGGATAAAAATGATGGAAAATGGAATGTTCTATATATGTATATATATCAGTTACTTGGGTATTTGGAAATGAAAGTTTTACACATACAGTGATTTCAGCCGTAATTCAGTAAAATATTCTATTGAAACTGTTAATGTTCAGTCAGATTATGTCTATGGTATTAAAAGTAATTATTTTTTATTTTTGGTTATTATGTACTCCTTAATTACATAACTGCATGCATATGCAATATATTTGCAGTTATCCTTTCATTTTATATTTCACCTTTGCTTTAGGTCATATGTTGTGAAGGCAATTCGGCATTTTACGAGAATGGTATAACCTTAACACCAATTAAAGCTGGATATTCTGTTCTTGGCTGGAATCATCCTGGTTTTGGCAGCAGCACTGTATGTAATATGTGATGTAATATAAGAAATAATTAAAATTTTATAAGAACTGCATACTTTACCATATTGGTTACATATTCTGCACCAGTCTATTATTGATAATTGCATTTTGAGTAAGATTTTATATTTTAATATGTTTATCTTTTGTGACTTAATAACTTTTGTAATATCAAGAAATTAACAATTTGTTGATTTTTTTAATATTATAAGCATATTCATTTTAATTAACTTTCATCTACAGTTATTTTGTATAAAGCTCTGTCATTTAGAATTCATTGACTGAAAAATACCCCCTCAAATTTATGCGGTAGGAATTTATTCTAGCCTTTGCTGGAATAAATTATGTTAAAAATTATAGGAGGATGTTGGTATTTGTTTTCCATTCTTAATGTATTTTTTTATGTTCTTTGAGAAAGATATACAGTACAAAGTCTCTAATCCGAACGTTCATTATCCGGAATGATCAATAATCTGGACTTCAAAGCCACAAAGTTACGCATGCGTGTAATGCATTTACGCATGTGCATTTGATGCGTGCGTCCACTACACATGCGTGTAAAGCCAGTAAAGTGTTTACCCATGCACACTTCCGATAGTGAAGAAAGTAACAGAGAATGTTATTTAAAATGAAAAAATTTCGATTTTCAAGTTAGTCTGTATTCTCGACACGGCAATTACAGGACTTGAATAGTGGAACTTTGTAACTGAACAAGAAATTACGTCTGTTTATAAAATTATAGAGAAAGTATTAGCAAAAAAAAAAAAAAAAAAAAAAAAAAAAAAAAAAAGAAACAACTTAAACAACTTACATTGTTAGAAATGTACTAAAGTAAACAAATAAATATTAAGCTTTTTTTTTTTTTTTTTTGTAAATTTTGATACCCTTTAGATCATAATTGCTCTTTATTTCATAAATTACGGTTTCATATTTTTAATTGTATAATTTCTGCATGCCATCTTACCAGATTTAAATTCATGATCTATAATCTGAAAAAACCCCTAATCCAGAATCGCTGAAGTCCCGACGAGTCCAAATTACAGACTTTCTGCTGTATATTCGATTTGTAAAGATATTTGCAATTATTTTCTTTTCTGAAACAGATTTCTTATCACTAGTGCAAAAATACCTGTTAAGTTGTCTCAGCATAATTTGTAAGTACTAAATTTAAGTGCACCAGATATTCTTTTTAATGAATTTGATGACTGACTGAAGTACCTGTTCTACACTTTAGTGGCAAGCATTTAAAAGAAATACTAAAAGGCATATTTTCACCATAAGGTAATGGTGTCTATTGGTGTTTCTAGTGGCCCCCTATGAGAGTGTCCTACATCCATCTCTGTTCCTTATCAGTCATTCTTCCCCCTCACTCACTCATCTCTAAAATGACCTATATTGAAGGCCTGTGATACTCTGTATTTACTACATTAAATTATAGTATGCCACCCTAGCTGAAGTACCAGCATTTCCCCAGGCTTTACTCAGAGTGAAGAGGCTTCATAGCTTTTTTTGAAATTTCAGGTAGACAGTGATTTTCATCTTATTTTGGTTCAAGGTGAATTGTGCTAAATTTTAACAAGCTGGAATGAAACTGTAGAACTAGCATGGCATCATGTAACTATTTAAGATCTGGTACTTGCTTTATTATCGAATAAGTCTTTTTTTTTGGAAATGAGCTTTCAGAAAATTCCTATCCACAAGTGTAATTTCTTCACTTGTTTTGAAATATTCATGAAAAACTGATAGAGAGCACATTCAGATGGTGCTTTATAGGTTCTGTACTATTCTGAAAAAGTTAAAAAAAAAAAAAAAAAAAAAAAAAAAAAAAAAGCGTGGCCTCATATAATGGTTTTAGTAAGAACTGATAACGGGAATGTAACAATGGTGATGTAAACCTAAGATTGGTGATGCAGTTTCAAAGTTGAAACTGTGTAAAAAATATTAATAGATATTTTTTATAAAAAATAATTATAAATTCTTTGCTTGCTTGTATGACTGCCACTGATAGCTGGAATGCAACAATGACATGAACCTAAGATGAGCCATGTTAGCACAGTGTTCATGTTGAAGCATCCTAGAGCATGGACTCTGAGGGGTGTTTTTTTTAGCTCAAAGGGCATTAGCCCAGGAGGGCTATTAATTTCATTTTGGCATTTTGCATTGAAAACTGTAAATGCCGGTTCACTTTTCAAATTGTTGCCACCAAATATTATCACCCAGTGTTATATTTAAAGAAATTAAATAATGAAGAGTGTGTATTGTATGTATGTTTCTTGCATTGTGATAAAACAATGGTACCTAGAGCCATCAAATTTTGAATAACGTAATCTTTCACCAAATATGGGCATCTAGAAGCCCTAGTTTGGAATGTGAAATTTGCTTTATTATCGATTTCATATTTTGTAACACTTCCACTAATTTTTGATTAACAAACTCAACGATTTTAAAGCGAGCAATGGCATCACTGTATGGGGGGGGGAAATTATCTCCAGCACGCGAGACTGTGTATCGGAAATTCTAAAGATATGCTGATTTTAAGATTATTTTGTGATTGAATATGAAAATAAGTGGATATGGCTGTTGAATTGAATTTTATGGTTTAAGTGCAAAGATTCTTTGATCTCCTTTTTTTTTTTTTTTTTTTTTTTTTTAAAGACACTATTCAATCTAAAGGACCTGTGTCATCCTAAATTAGGAAATTTAATCCTGTTTGGGTTTTAATATACTCCATCATTTTTAAGACTTTTTCTAATCTCTGTTATAACCAGTATAGCATAGAGTTAAATTCTAGCTATTTAAAAACAAGGAAAAACCTGCTGTTAAAATTCGGTCCTTAATAAAATTCAAATGTATTGATAGCTTAGCTAGACAGCAACATTGTATGTTTTTTTTTTTTTTTTTTTTTTTTATCTTACCTAGACAGTGACCTTGTTTTGAATGTGAAATGCTCGAAATTTCATCAAGATTGTAATTAAACTGTAGATTTGTATAACAACACACTGACAGACAGTCTTCTTTTTATGTATCTTTATATATAGATGTTTTAATTAATCCAATTTATGTAATTTCACTGCTCTAGTTAGTAATTAATAATAATTGAAATAAACATGTGTTTATTGCTTTCAAATATTTTTTTTTTCTTAATTAATCATAGAATAAATCTGGCAAAAAAAAAATGGAATATCTTGCACTTTGCTTGTAGAATCATTAGGTATTTTTGGAAGCAGGCAAGGTGAAAAATAAGCAAGCGCCTTCGCCAGGAATCGAACCGCAGACCTCTGGAATATGCACCCAGCGTGCAGGCCACCACACTACGAAGGCATGCCAAGAAGGCGGGAGAAATACCTTATATGCTTAGCAACAAAACACTGCCATGTTAGATAAAAATATTTTAATTTGGATATTAGCAACACATTTCTTTTAGATCCCTTTTTTTTTAAAATTAAATCCAAATAACAAATATGGTGATTATACACTTCTTTGATATCAAAGAGTTTTCTGATTAAATTGGAAACATGAATATCTAATACTCTACAGTGTGGCAATACAAAGCTTTATTGATGACTAATGCACATATCCATATCACCTTACATTGTAGATTACATTGTACATCCACCTGTTTGATTTTTTTATTAATCATGCGTCATTCTAAACATGAGATTACAATACTGGTTCTTATATGTGAAAAACTTGTGACTTGTGTGGCGACAAATATAATTTCTCTAAATGAAATTAAAACTTCAAGTTTAATTCATAGCTGGAAAAAGACTGGTTTCTAATGTTATAAAGTAGGGAGATTTGGCTATCGAATGGTAGTAGGATCTGGTACTTCTGAAATTATTTCTGGTGTTGTAAGTGAAAATAATATGGAATTTGTAAAGAACAAGTAGAATAAAGGATATATGATTTTATCCAATCAAATATCCTTGATGTAGTGACTCAAGAAGAGCAAGTAAAATGTGAAAGTGAAATAGCATAGAAAAGCTTGATAGAGCATTAGACTATGTATATTGATGAATTATTTCAGTAAATGAGTAAATAAATACTTATTATCTCAAACAAATTTATTTTATTCAGATTTTGAAAAATCAAGTGTTTTGGTGCATATAAAATATTTTTATGTACTAATGTAACTATCTTTATTTTTCGTAATTAGATATTATCTCAGAGATATTCTGAATATGTTTGGTAGAATATTTTTCTTTCAAATATGCTTTAAAATTACAAAAAGAAATCTTAGTCCAGAGCAAAATATTAGCAGCTCTTACAGTAATTTTATTCAGCTATTCCATATCTTTGCCTTGTTATGATGAATTATGTCAATTATAAAAGAAATTTAATTTTAATAATCTTCACTGGATGTGTTTTTGTGTTAGAGAAGTGGACATGAAATGATTGTAAAGTTAAGTACTTTAGCACTTATAAAGAAGTGATATAATGAAATGAAAATATTATAAAATAATAATAATAATGTAACTCTTTGAATATGAAAATAAGTGGGTATCATTAATATTGAACATCTTAGATCTCAAAATATGTATAAGGAAAAGTATCATGTTGTAATGATGTCAGTTAATTAATATTTTGAATAAACTGTTTTATTTTCTAAAGATAATTTTTATCAAATTTAGATTGGTGCTGTAAGTTTTAATTAGCAATATATTTTCTTTGTAGGGTACACCATATCCAGATCAAGAACTGAATGCCATAGATGTTGTAATGCAATTTGCTACATCAAAGCTGGGTTTTAATATAGAAAATATTGTAATTTATGCATGGTCTATTGGTGGCTTTAGTGCCACATGGGCTGCTATGAATTATCCTGATATTAAAGGTTTAGTAAGTGTTTTACTTATTTATTATTAATCGTAATAGTCATATGTAATGTAGGGGTGGGCAAAGCCCAGCTGGTGGGGCTGAATGCAGCCCTTTTGGTTGCTTAATATGGCCTGTTATGAAATCCTGTGCAATGACAGTTTCATCTTTTTCCCACCAAATTTTTATATGTAAACTAACAAAATCAATAGTGTGAGTCCATGTTTATTCTTGCTGTGTATATGGGAAATATACGCACAGTTATACTAGTGATCAACTAAGGTTGAGAACAGTAGATATGCTAGAAAATATATGTATCTGTCAAAGAATGTAGTCATATTATTCCTGGGAACTTTTATTTAGAAATTAAAAATTGGCGCGTGAATATCATTGGGATTAAAAAGCTGATCAGAAAAGGGAGCTTCTTAAAATACATTTCATCTTTGAATTTATATATGCAAATGAAACAGATATGTGTCTTTTGATGACCTAGAGGAACAGGTCTCATTTTTGCATATATGTATTTTTTAAAGATGTCTACTGGGAAATGGTATCCCTCACCCCCCAAAAAAATGAGGGCACTCCTAAAGATCATCATAGTTTTGCGTGCATGATGCAACTAAAAAACTTTTGGCCCGCTGTTAAAAGTACTCACCCACTCTTAATGTAAAACTTTTAAGTATACTTTAACTAATTATATGTTTTATATTATTTATAAAAATTATATGTTTTTCTCACTTCCATAGGTTCTAGATGCTACATTTGATGACTTAGTTGCTTTAGCTGTAGCCCGAATGCCACCTAGTTGGAGTAAGAGTTTTAATTATTTTTTATGTGTGCTTTGTAAAAAATTTAAATGGAAAACTGTAAAAAAAGTTATTATCAAGTTATTATTTATTGAATGTCAAGTTAAATGAGAGTTAAAGGAATAATAATGATTATAGTAAAATCTTCTCATCCTTGTATTTACTTAACAACATTATCTGCATCATAATTACATGTTTGTAGCGAGCACGAATGTAAATGGCTTTGATATTTTTTGTACAAAATAAGCACTCTATGCATATTTTAAATTTTATATATCTTTTTTATCTTGAAAAAAATTATAATATCTATTATAATCTTAACTTAAATATTTTGAAGTTATATGTGTATAATATCACCATTGTTATATGTGTATAATAATGTGTATAATATCACCATTGCTAAGTTACTTTAGCCTTGAAGAGAAGATTTCAGTAAAATAAAATTTTATTAATTAAAATTCAAAATTGAATAACATATTTTTGCTTTACTTTTTTAAGTGTACTTAATTTTTAGACATGTTATTTAATTTTATAAGTATTTATATAATGCTGTTTTAATCATTCTATAATTATATAAAAAATATTAGTTTTAGATACAGAATTTGCTATCACATCTTAAAATGCTGGTAATTCTTGAGCATATCTAGCTTTCTGAATATCCATATTCTCCCAAAGGAAATTTTATCTTTAACAGTTATATAATGGTAATTAATGTGCATGTAATTCACAATTTTCAGAGCCTTTGGTTGTAAGAACAATTAGAGATTATATGGATTTGAATAATGCAGAACAATTGAGCAAGTAAGTTTTTTAGATACACATTATGATCATTATACAGAAATAACAATGTATGATTATTTACATTAATTTTAAATAGCATGTGTAATACTGTATTTATATCATAACTTATTTTTTCTTTTAAGATATAATGGTCCAGTATTACTAATTCGCAGGACAAAAGATGAAATTATATCCACAAGGTCAGTGTTTTGAGAAATTCCTGTATTTTTGATTTATTGTTTTTCCTAATTAAATACATTTTTAATTTGAAATAAAAAAGATTTTTTCCCCTGTAAATAATTTTGCACATAAGATAAGTTTTCAAATGCAGAGTACTCTCAATTATCTGGTCTAATGCTAGAGAAGCTGGTCATAGATAATTGAAAAACGCATATAATCCAAATATTCAGTTTTCATTGCATGTTGTATGTGTTTATTTTTTTTAAATCAATAATTTTATTTTGTTTTTTAGAACGTTTAAACTGTAATTATTATATACTTTCTCTAGGTATTTTATAGTTTGCATGACATTTTTAGACAAAGTATGAAATATGAGAATTGTTTTATACTTTCCCTAGGTATTCTATAGAAAGGCAATTTATGAGGAAAGGTCACAATAAGGCTATTATTTAAAAGACTTGTATTTCTCAAGAATAGAAATGTTATTTTGAAGAAATGATGAAAGAGTGTCATTAAGAAACTTTTATTTAAAATACGTAAAGAAAAATTAAAAACAAAATTTATGCCTTTCTTATTAAAGAAAACAATGTAAGAAAATGCACAAAATCTGCAATGAATGAATATTAAATGTGTAGATAATGTATGAATACATTACATTTATGGATATTCAAAATGAATCAGAAATGTATTTCATACTTTGGTTTGTCATTTGGCATTCTACTGAATGTCTAGGAATGTCTTTTCATACAGTGCCAGGCAGTGTTTGGCAGTCTATAAAATATCTAGGTATTTTAGAAAAAATGCTGGCTTTCGTGTACACGGTAACAGGCGGGGAAATATACACATTTATTCATTGATCAGCAATTAACTTACAGTCATAATTATATTCTAGGCTGTTATATCTCTATTTTAATTTTGACATTAATTCATTTACTTTACCTGTCTTTATTGATCCAATATTTACATTATGATCGCAGTATGCTGTCGATTTCTTGGGTTAATGACATATAAGCAGCTCACGAATAATTCTAAACCACAGAAAATCCCAACTACAAGTTTTTATGCATAATATATATATGTGTGTATTTCTTTAAAAAAAAAAAACTATGATCTTTATTTTTGAGAGCATTTAAATACTTATCGAATTTGACCGCATATTTTTTGAAGTGCTATTTTGTCTTTGTATTCAAATCCCATTTTGTCTACAAAGTCCAATAGAGTTTCAACAGAAGTCATTGCTGTCTTAGGACTGACGTAACTGTCAGTATCTTCTTCATTTGTATTTTCAATATTACTTGCTGTCTCTTCTGCTGTTATGATACTTGAATCGATATCTGCACATTGAAAGACCACCTCAGTCGAATCGTTATCGAACTAGTCGTTGACGTTTTCCAGATTGACAGTTTTGAAAAATTTTATACTTTCAAATTTTTTGTCGTACAACTTTAGTTATGACTTCAGGTTCTTCACAATTACATAAATCTCTGAGTTCTATGTTAAGACAAATCTTTCTCCATACTCGGATTTCCATGTATTTGTTTTTTATGCACTTTCCCGTTCAGAGTCAAGTGTGTGCCACTCATGAATAATCCAAAGTACACTGTAGTTGTCCTCACATAAAACTAAGTTGTTTTGCATTCTTGAAAGCTTAATGTAACTAAATTATAAGAAGTAGTTAGCTAATGTAGTTCCATAATGGTTTTTCTGTCTGGTAAGTAATATTATTGAATAAACAGTTTCTGTAATTACAAAGTGTGCTTTTGTGTACAGCACGTCTATGCGAAAAAGGTCAAACTATAGCAAAAATATCATTATGAATAAAAATTACTGTAAATAATTAAATTTTATTAATATAAGCATTTTGGGTGAAGCTTTATTAAAAAAAAGGGAATGAAATGAAAATTCTTTATAATTACTTTAGAACTAAATTCAGAATGGAAAGAAATATTTAGATAGGCTATTAATAAGTAAACGATTCTGAGCTATGTACTTATACATCAAAGTTTAAAGTTGTTGCATTCCAGGTATCAGTTTGTGCATTAAATTTCTTTTTATCATTACTGTATAATTAAAATCAACTTTCCTGCACTTTTGACAGTTTTAGAGCTATAACGTTTTGAATATTAGGTCAGTTATATTGTTTTGATATATGAAATTTTTTTACAATTTTTAAAATTAGTTTAAAATGTCAGTATTTCGGGTTCCATTATAACGAAGAAGAAATCTTAAATAATTATTCTTTTAATTATTCATTTTTCATATGTACTCTAAAATAGTTCTTCTTATTTAGTTACTGTGTCTGCTTTTAAAATATTTATCTGTTATTTCTAGGCCTTCTAGATCCATTCAGACTAATAGAGGAAATGAACTTCTTATAAAACTCTTACAGACAAGGTGAAGTTTTTACATGGTCTTTATTTAGTATTTTAAAGAAAAATAAAATTATATTAACCATGATAATGTTGATATATTTTTGAATTATTATTCTTGTTACTTATAACTATGGTTCAACATAAGTATGTTTTAGACTTAGCATTTAAATTCTATTTGCTTGTGATAATTGTATTCCCCGCCCTTGTAGAAATTTTATCTTCTGTTTGTTTCTTACTTCATAATTGTAGTTCCTTATTCTACAGGTATCCAAAATTAGTTAATAATGATACTTTATGGGCTGTCAGAGAATGGGTATCTGGAGACAAGGCCCACCAGAGTAAGTATGGTCAATGATTTTATGCATTCAAGTTGTTTAAAAAAACTTTATTGAAAATAATACTTATTGACATATAAATGTCAGCTGTAGTGACATATAAATTTTAAGACAGTTTTTTTTTTTTTTTTTTTTTAAGCCTTTCCCCTCCCACAAACCTTTCCGAAACCATTGAGATTACATCATACATCTCCCAAGATGCACTTAGCTTTTGTTTGTGATTAATGTCAAACAAAAATTAAATTTTATAAATTATTATAGTTTACAATAGCTGTAAATAGTTTTGTTTAGTGCATACTGATTCTGATATGTTCTTTAGCATTGAAAAAATGTAAAAATTAATCTCATCAACATATTTGGGATGTAATCTCAATCATTAAGACATCTAACATATCAGTAAATCTCTTTGCAGATAGCCTTTCAGTGCTTTTCATAATTGAATAACTAACTTAATCTCAATTCTATTTCTAGTTGGTAGAATTCAGATTACAGTTATATGTATACACTATCAAATTAAATTCATTCAAGTTTGAGAAAGAAATTGTGCCTTATATATTTATAGTAAACATGCTTAATATATTTGAATTAAAAAAAATTTCTCATCATAAAATTGATGCCTTTTACTGCAGTGATTAGTGATTGTTATCACTATATAATAATAATGTAAAATTATGCATAAGAAATTGTAAATGATTCAACATTTGTGTGCTGCATTCCTCTGCGAAAAATTTGCAATCCTTCTTGATATATAAAGACTAGTTATGTAATATGTATTGAATTTTAGTTTGGTGATGAAGCTGAGAGTTTTGACATATTGTGAAACTTTATTCCTTACCAAAAAAGCATATTTGCAGTAAGTTAAACTTCAATGGGTATTTTCCTTGAGCTTTACAAAACTGATGAACTGGATATGTCAGTGTGACATGTAAGGAATAAACATAATGTGAAGAAGAATAGAAGCATAAATAATGGCTGATTAACTTGAATGGTATGTTTGCAGATAGTTGGCAGCAACAATTCCAGTGATGCTATTCAGAACATTTGGCTAGATTCCTTTTTCCATTATAATCTTTGAAAGCTCCTTTCTCATGCACAGAGACAGAAACACTTTATTGACTTTTACCGTGGACTATGTAGCTCTGAATTTTTCTTGTCTCCAGTACTGCACAGCCACAAGCGAGAAATGCAAATTTCCCAACAATGGGAAATTATGCTGCTGTTAAAATCTAAGAAGTATAGGGATTATAAAATTGAAGCCACCTAAAGTATAACTTTTAAGTTTCCATTAAAATTCCTTTTATAGTTCATAAGGAGATGAATCTTTTAGCTTACAGTTTTAGTCGATTTTTGTTCTTTTTGCATCTTTTATTATTCAGACAGCTAATTGAATTTTTTATTTTAAATACTGGTACGCGTAAAATTGTATTATTTATGTAACTTTTTCACTTGCTATCATTTATGCAGTTTTGATATACTGCATTATCTTAACAAAATGCCCAAATTTATTTTTCTTAAATATATTTATTTGTCTGGTTATTCATTAAATTTATGAACGAGTATGCAATTTTTGTACTCTGTGATTCTAGTGTCACACAGTGATACTAGAATTATTGGGAGCACATGAGAGGAGGTTTTTCATTATGACTAACATCTGTGCAGCGATGTTCTTAAACTCAGTTATAAAAATATTTTTAGTAAATATATATTAAGATAAATTAATATTCTGAATTTTTTACCTGTGTTTTCAGATATTTTTCAAATAAGTATTTATTGTCTAATATTGTATTTTGGCCAAATGTTCAATAATAAATTTTCTGTTATGAATTTAAGCTATTGTTTGGTCTCAACAAGGAATTGAGGAAGAACTTTGTATTGCTTCTCTAGCATCCTATATAGAGGAAAATGGTTGTGAATTTCCTTTACAAATTGGTATGTTAAGATTTTATTTGCTATTAAATATAGAAATATTTTTAAGGTTAATTTCCATTTCTACAAAATTAACTGCTTATTAATTTTACTTATTTGTTCAGTTTGTCTAGCATCCTTGCTCAGCTACGATGCAATGAAAATGTAGGGAGCTTCATGAAATGTAGTTAAATATAAAAAAGGTGATTTAATCTGTCTCTGAATAGTAAGGCAGAAAGACTTGTATTTAGGAAAAATGATGACAAAAATTATCATATTAATACTTTGTAAAGCTTTAATCGATTTTTCTGTAAGAGATAATTTGTTCTAAAGTGGAATTACGAATTTTGTATATATGTAAATAATTTTAGTGAAATTATATGTGAAACTATAGTATGTTTTGTATATAACATGAAATACTTGAAAGAAATGATGGTGTGCCAGAAAAATAAGAATATAGGGGCAAGCCTGTTTAGCAACGAGTAAATGCTTATCTTGCTGATTTGGCGAGATATTGCCAAACTGACAATGGTATTGGCAATCTTTTGGTCTAGTCCCTGTATTACTGCAATAGGTATTGTAATAACTGAATAACTGCAATTTGTAACCATATATGACCATCATATACATTATAGCAATTTCGAGAAGTGGAAGGTACTAGAGATTTCTCGGTAGCCAGAGGAAAATGGTATAAGACTGGGAGAGTATCATTTTTTTGGTAGTTGTTAGTTCAAAGCTAATAACATAATACTCCACTGGCATACAGTGTGCAACATCTATTATCATAAAACATTCTCTTCTATTCTATAACCTCAACTCTGTGTCTTGTGAGAGAGAGGCAAAAACAATGAGGTGGGTGCCATTTAGCTAAAAGTGTGCATGCATGATGTTCATCAAACTATCACAGTAATATTAATATAAAGTTATATATGTAATTTTAATATAATCAATCTTGTGAATATAATCTATAATAGTTAGCTGAAATACTATTTCGAACATTTGTACTTTTCGGTTCGGGGTAGGGTTTACTCAGTTACAAACACCGTTTCACAAGAGGACAGTTGTTAGTTCAGAGTTGAATTTGGAGTATTGGGATATCCGTGAGAGCTTAACCTTTTAGATGCACTTTGCATTGCATTTTATTTAGCTATCTTAGTAGCCTGGAGTGTAACTAGTGATTGTGCTCTGTGATACCAAGAAGTATTTTTGTGGTAAGTTCCAGAACTGTAAAATGTGTGTTTTGGTAAAAATAAATGTTATCAACTGTCATCAGTTCTATGTGCATTCAGTCTACTATTATGGCTTATATACATGCAACAGTAAGTTAAAAAGAAAAAGTAACTCAGTATCCTTAATTTTTTTAAATGTTTTTGTGCTTTTTGAGTTAAATTTGTCAATTTAGATTTGTATTTAAAATTCTTATTTTTTAGAATATTTAACAATAGCCGCTATGCGGCCAGCCTTCGTCTGGCTTTTAAATGTACCGGAAAAATGCCTGAAGGGAACACCAAACATTAAATTTAAAAACTGCACAGAATATTACTATTCAGAACAACTTTATCAAAAAATTCAATAAAAATGTATTATATATATAAAAAAATGTGATGTGTACACCACATGACTTCCTTGTACGAAATATTAAATTATACGCATTTTTTCTTGCATTTCATTTAAACTTATTGGATTGAATTAAATCTACTTTACCGACAGGGCATAAACCACAATAGAATAAATGATTTCTTTAAAATTGACTCTATTGCTTTACCATAGCGACACTCTGGCGCTAGGTTCACTTAACAGTATTTTATTTCGTTCATATTATAAACTCAGAATGCACAAACTTTATATCATTTAAAGAATTATCTAATCATTGACACATGTTCTATTCAAATACTATAATAAATCTAGAACAACGTATAAAAGAAATTAAGCAAACAAAACAAAAAAGAAACAGTTTTTCACAGACGATTGAGTACTTCTCATTCAACTAATTCAGTTCTCACTTCGCGAAGAGGCAAAAATACATAAAAAGTCCAAATATCTGTATTAAAAATTATGAAGTAAATCTTAAACACTTATTTCCTCAAAAAAATTCCAGAAAGAATTAAGCATGATTTAATTCGCACTAGTAAATGAAGGCGTTATCTTTGTTGTTGCGAAGCTAAGTTTCTCTAGATTGGCAACAAATCCACTATTCTGCTGTTTCAAATGTAAACAAGCACCGGCCGCCATCAAAAACATTATTAGGTTTAGTGTCACTTAAACAACTTTAAAATTCTTGATAATTCTAAAAATATTGCATACAGATTTACTAAAGGCATAAAAACCTTAAACGGAAGATAAGAACAACATAATTCAATCATTTTTAAAACCAAAAATGTACAATTTACAAATACATAAGAGTAGAGAAACTGAGGTCACTGAGCTGGGTAACAGAGTGGATATATATATGAATATATTTATATGCGTTTGGTGCGGCTGATTGCAACCAAAATACGAGGTGCACATCTACATGTTATAGCAGTCCTATATACAAAATTTCAACGTTCTGAGGCTACTCATTTTTGAGTAATGTGAGATACGTTCGTACAGACGCCATGAAAAATTCTCTTCAGAATTCATTTTAAAGCAATTTTGTAATTTTTTTTGGAGGAAAAGAGTCTTTTATTTTGTCTTTACATACAGATATCATACAAAAACATCATTAAATTTTGTTCGAAAGCGGTCAAAATTGATATTTTTGTTGAAATATGCTGCCTGAAACTTTTCACGATTTAAATACTTCCTTTTTACTTCGTACAAGGAAGTAAAAATGACAATGAAATATGCTAATCTCTTAAAAACAATTACATAAGAAATATGATGAAAAATTGTTGCCACACCCATATTTCTAAAAGAATGAAACTATTCAAAATGATGCGATTTCATCAAAAACCTATCAACAACAATGAGAAAGGAAAATTGTTGCCAAAATCAAATTTTTAAAGATGTGAGAAGTGTACTCGGAAGCTTCATTTAAAAAATTTTAAAATACAAAATAGTATCATTTTTCCAAAATTCTTTTTGTAAAAGAAGTCGCAAGGATGAAAGTTTAATGTGTCCGAAAATCAAAGAAAAATAAACTGTACATTTTTTTAAATAAACGTTTTTAGAAAAAATCCCGTTGAAAAGGTGTTAAGCTCACTTTTTTAAATAAATTCGTATTTAATCGATTTATTGAAACATAAATTTATTTTAAGTTCGAAAATAGTGAGTGCCTCGTTCTGACATGTGAAAAATGGAGTGTGTAGAGTAAAATCTCGCTTTTCTATAGCCCATTATGTCTCAAAATGATGCGATTTCGTCACAAAACATAAAATTAAAAAAATTCGAATTTCGAAAAAATCGCTTTGAGGTGCACTGGCTCTTGTTACAATAGATACACATATGTACCAAATTTCATAGCCGTGGGTCTATTAGCTTATGCACAGCACGAATAAAAGACACACACACAGACAGACTCTTTTATTATATGTATAGATAAAAAATCAATAGGTACAGAGTAATTGAATTGGTATTTAATCCTTAAAGTTCTAATAAGAATATATGTAGGTTAATTAGTAAATGTTCTTTAAAAATTGTGAATAATATAAGCAGAGTTTTATGGCTTAAAAATACCTAAGAGTTTTTAGGTTTTTCTAGAAACAGTTTTTGGTCGTTAAACGACCTTAATATTGGCCAAAATCAGTAAAAGGTCGGTGATTTATATATATAGATTTCAGGATGAGTTTGTAAAAAAAAAAAAAAAAAGTTTTGAGCTTCGTGAATTTTTTGCCGATTTTTTTTTCTTTTTTACGAACATAACAACATTGATAATGTATTAAAATTATATTTAAGAAATAACATTTAAATGAAACATATTTTCTCTTGCCGTAATTTAGAGTGGTATTACTTTCCAATTTGAAAACTTCAAAAATATTTTTATTCTGAAAAATAAACAAAATAATAAATGCTAATAAGCATGCCGAAGTGAAATGAAGAAACAAACTCTCCATATGTTTTATTATGAAAAAATATAAAATGTGCAAGACTAAAGCTTAAAAAAAAGTTGTTGATATCCAGAGGTACAGATTTTTGATCATTCTTGATATTGGATGTCCAGATTTAGGATTTTGTATTGTATTGTGTTTTAAATATATTGTGCATGTACGACATGAATAAATAAAAGCTGTCTTTTTAAAATTATTTATTTAATTTGATGTGATTTATTTTTCTGTTTTCAATAGGTGATAGTCTTCCTGCAGATCTGAAAGTGCAATTAGCTTTATATCTCGTAAGTTAGCATTTATTTGATTACTTTTATATAAATTGCATGAAAGTTGACAAATTCATGCATTTTTTACACCAGAGTGTTTAAAATCAAAACTGTCATTAAAAAAGCATTTCAATGCAATAGTGAATCTTTGTAAATATGTAAAGTTTATTTTTTAAAATCACGTAAAAAAATTTTTTTAAATAATAATTTATGTAACACTTACCAGATCTTTGCAAGTGCATGTGTTAAAGATGTGTATGTGTATGTTAGTGTGTGTGGAAGGATGCATTATTTAGTAACATCAAATAATTATATGAATTTCATTTAGCATACTTTTATTATTTAAAGCTTTTGGTATCAGCACAAATAAAAGCTGTTATTTATACACTGTATATGAGATTGATTTCTATTGTTCTATTTTTCTTTCATTTGTATGATCAGACAAATCACTTATTTCCATACCTGTGTTATCTATTATTTATGTGGGGGATGCTAACTACCTTTTCAGTTACACCTACTGGAAGAAATAAAAAAATCAGAATGAAAAAATGGCCCAAGTTACACAACTTGCGCACAAACACTTGCATATACAGTGTCTGAAAAAACAATAGTATTGTCTGCCAGATGAAGTGAAGCATGAATTTGAGCACCGTCTTACAGCGAAAAGCATGAACGTGTTAACGAAAATGTATATCTGTATAATCTGGCAATAAATCCTTGATTGAATAGGAGGAGCCAAGTCATTCAGGGGTCTAAATATGAAAGGTGGCACATTAAATGACAAACATTATTAATTTTTTATGTTGAATAAATAATTCTTTTTATTTTAATGCAATAATAGCCCAGTGATAATAATGAGTAATAATAGTTTTGGCACTAATAGGAGTTCAAAATGTTAATACAATAATGAGAACATTATTTGTCTTGTATGGAGAAAACAATGAATGAAGGCATTGAAAGCATAATTCACCAACATTCTTTTATTAGTTTAAGTTTAGCCATAAGAAACAATGCAGAATTGATAGCAAAGGATTTTTGGAAAGACCGATATTTTGCATGTACGTATTTATGAGGTAGAGTACATAAGGTACTTATTTATGGGAGGGAAAATAATAATAAAGGAAAATAAAAAATGCACTTATGCACTTTTCCTGTTCAGAGGAAGATGAGTTCTACAGTAGATCCTATTTCTAGTAGGTGAAGTCATAATAGGAGGCAAATTTAATTTGGGCTGTGATGCTGAGCATGTTGTAGAATGAAAAACTTGTTTCAAAGCATTATTGAATAATCTGTATGATGTTTCAAAATTAAGTGAAAAGTAAATCTTAATTGAACTTGAAATGAAAATTGCTGAATTCACCGATTTGGATGAGTAGTGAATACACCAATGAAAAGAGAGAAAGAAAAAAAAAAAAAAAAAAAAGTTTTGTCCCCCTCCCCCTCCCAGGAGGACCACAAAAAAGTGAGGTGTTTTTTAGTTTAACCCTCTAATCGGCAAGACCGTATATATATACCGTATATATATATGGCCTGGAATATTTATTGTGATATCTGTAAGAATGTATATATACGCGCATATTAAAATATGTCAACGAAATTAAGGCAATATATCAAAAGAAAACAAATCCTGGTATGAAATACCAGGATTAAATTTTGCATTAAAATCAAAAAATAATTTGTTCTCGTAGTAGTTTTGGGAAATTTGTGCTTTCTTAGAGAAAACCCTGGCCGCCCAGAGGGTTAAGCTTTATTATAGGTTTTCTTCAATTTGTCAAGACTGTCATCACAATTTTATCATGTAATTTTACAGTTTACTAAATTGTGGACATTTAAAATATTAGTAAATTTTATTGTGAGCTTTGTTTGAATTAAAATTTTTATTAAGACCAAATGTATGGAATCTTAATTTTATTTACTCACTCGATGAAATTAAATTTCATAATGGGGCTCTGCTTACTTTAGCTTTGCTTGTGGGGAAACACTTATCTCGACTTCTGTTATTGCTCTAGAAATGCATTACCAGATAACTTTGGGGTATTATTGTACAACAGGATTGCATATAAAATTTTTATGTCAATAATTAAGGCTATTGAAGTTTATTATATTGTTTTCAGACAAGTTGCCATTGATAGACAGCATTATTATTATTATTTTTCTGTTATCAGATTTTTATTTCTAATGCTTAACAAATACAGCAGCACTGTTGAAACATATTGCAGTATTCATTCTGTTAATAGAAGGAATTTAGATGAAATTATACTTCCTCCATGAAAGCCTCAAAATTCAAAAGAAATAACAGTTGATAATTAACCTTACATAAAGCAACCATCAAATAGTCAGAAAGACACTCTGGTAATGATTCTTGTGTGGCTGAATATAGGGGGATTGGGAAAAGATTAAATCCTCCGTAATATTCATCAAGTAAAAGTGCTACATGTTGTATTATGTTTTTTAACATTTGTGGTGTTGCAGAAAATTGTGTATCAGCATGTCACTTTGTTGACATGGCATAAATTTTTGGTTCACATTGCTGTGATGATGAAACATAAAATTTGTACAGAAATGTAAAGAAATCAGTTTGCAGAATTAGAAACCCATATTACACTCCCCAAAATCATCAAACATCAATCTTAAAAATAAATACTTAAAGAAAAGGTGCTGTGTGTGAAGAATCTGATAAAATTATTAATGCCTGCTACCCATGTCCAACAACTTAATAAACTTCAGGAAATATTAAGCTGAAAATGCTAAAGTTTTATTCATGGGATGGCATCACTTCATATGATGTTATGTCCCACTTCTGGATTGAGACGAAGCAGAAATTTGAATGAAAAATTTTTATCTTATGCTGTATTGATAAGAATTTGTCACTGTTGTATTTTTCAGTCAGTAAAGAATTCAAAAGAGATTGTAAAGTTACAGGGGGGATGCAGGAATGATTTTTTACGAAACCAAAAATTGTTTAATACATGATGTAAAACTACTTCTAAATGGGGCTAAAACTGTAGTAATTTTATTGTTTCAAAATACAGTTTTTTTTTTCACTTTTTATACCGTCTCTTTCAATATGTGGAACTTCTGCATTAAGTATTGTAACTGGATTTTCGACATTAGAAATACTTAAGCTGAATCTCTCAGAAATTTTTTTACCATTAGATAGTTTTATGCAACTGTACATTTGTTAATCATGTGAGTAGATGCAGATGTGAGAAACATAACATGTTTCTTTAATTTTCCTTTGGTTCAGCCTCACAAATAGGCAAGTTTCAGAGTGCTACCATTTCGTAAAACATAATTGCAAATTTAATTAATAAGAAATTGCTTAATGATGGGTCTGAAAGCAGTAAATGCATGTTTTAATATTTTTATTCTTTAATAATATATATCTTTTATATAATTTATAATATATAATCTGTAATTCGATAGGTAATTACACTTGTATGAAAATTAAGAGAATTTGCACATTATATTGAATTTATGAAAAACTAATAGACAGATTTCAATGAAATTTGGTATAAATATACATTTATAATAATTCTATTTATAAAAAAGAAAGAGATGTACCATTCATACCAAATTATGTATGCATGATTATCAGCGAAGATCATACTGCAGGGATGTCCACAATTCACATTGTGAGAACAAACTGAAAATAAATCTAATATATGGTATGATTCCCTCTCACAGCCAGAGAGCTTGTGCAATGTGACAGCATACTGTTTAGGAGGCGGATAAAGAGTCCCTGTGGCAGTCGATACCACTCTTGCAACAAGGCAGTTTTCAACTCCAGAATGTTTCTCAGATGATGACGGCAAGATGAAATTGCCCTCCCACGAGTAACCTATGAAGGCTGTATACGGTTAAGAGATATAGCAATCCAGTCTGTGTGGTAAATGTCCATGTGGTGGTGTTACTTTTTAGGGAATAATCAACCATCTGAGCTCTATGTAGACAAGCATTGTCCTTCATTAACAAGAATCCAGGACCAACTGCACCCTTGAAAAGGTCTCTAAAATCTTTCCATACCTCATGTATACCTCATACCTGTTCAATGAAGGTCAGAGATCCTTTGTCAAAACATGCAAGGGTGTATGGGCTTCCAACATAATGCCTGCTCAAATCATTACACCTCCACCACTGTAATGATTATTTTCCCTGATAATAGAGGTATGATATCATGTACCAGGCTCTCTCCAAATACAGGTATGCCAAGAATCAATGTCCAAGCTAAATATTGTCTCATATGTAAAAATACACAGTGCTGAAGTTTGGTCCAAGGAAGATGTCTGCACCATGCTAAACCTGTTCTCTCGTGTGCTGAAGTAAGCGAGACTCTGGTCATTATATTGAGCTCTGTAGCTACCTATGCTTTTGATTGGCCTGCTTCCAGTGTACTGAAAGTTCTTTATCTCATTTTATATGCTTCATATGTATTCCATATTCATCATGCATATGTTCGGGACTGCTCATTTTACCTGATACCTTATAAAATTTACCCAAGTCTTGGGAAAAACACCACAAATTTTGTGAAGAAATACAAGCACACAAATCATCAAAAAATCCTTGTGCACTTATATTCCCTCCACATAGCTCCACAGATGAGCACATGATATATATGTGGTGTTCAACTCTGAATATTTGCATTAATTCTTTGGTGGCATTAGTACCTTTGGTTCAATATTTTTTGTAAAAAACAGACGTAATTTTAAAATTCTCTTAATTTTGCACACTAGTGTATATTATTTGCCACAGCATTTTAATTAACAAAATATATTTGTTTTTAATGCCATACATTATATATCTATTCTGTGTGCAAAATCATTTGGTTGCTTTTCCCTAATGAAGATTTTTTTCTTTTGATGGATGCTTTTCAATCAAAATTTAAAGCATTCAACATTTTTTTCAGACATTATCAGTGTGTTGATTTAATATTTATTGTTCTCTTTCTCTCTCTTTTTTTAACTTTACAGGCTGATAAGCATATGATTGATTTTGATTCAACTCATTGTGTTGAACTTCCTGCACGAATGTTTCATCTGCCGTGGGATATAAGGCAAGCTAGTGGCAGTCACAGTACATTTGATACCAAGTCACGCCTTTAGTGAAAAATTCTATGTTATGCAAAATCTCTTTTTTTTTTTTTTTTTTTAACTAAACTTAGTGATTGTATTTATTGACTTATCGTGAAAAAATTTTTATTAAGATTGTACAGAAGTGTAATAAAACTGAATATCATTCCACACACACACGATTCATCGGTTGTGAAGTTTTATGGTTGGTAACTGGAAATATTGTATGTGATGGGGAAGAAATTGAAATATTTCAGAACATATTCATAAATAACTGTTTCAGTTTTCAAATCCTTTTCATTTAGCAATAGTTAAATTTTCCATTTTTTCCCTTAATAAGATTTGTGACCTGTGATATGTCTTTTCTCTTTGCATAAAATTATATGGCTTTGATATTAATGTTCAGGCAAATTATTTTGGGATTTATTAATGTTCTCTCTCTCTTTTTTTTTTCTTTTTACTTCATTGTAGCAAACAAGTTTTTAAAGATATCAGCATGTCACCGTGCTGACATGGCATGGTTCAATTTAATATGTTGTTTAATAAAAAATGAACTTTAAATTTGACCCTTATTAAAATTGTTTAAATAATTTGCATAAAATTGTTGACATGGCATGATTCAATTTGATATGTTGTTTAATAAAAAATGAACTTTTAATTTAAATTTGACCCTTATTAAAATTGAACATAATTCACCATTTTATATTGATAATTATTACACTTATCATTTTGAGGATTTTATTTGAATGCTCCAGACTATTTTTTTAGCATAATATCAGTTATTTTTTTCTAACGTTATGAAGATTAGTAACAATAGTGTACAGTAAAAAGACTAATAATAAAGCAAGTATTGTGATACTAAACCATTATTTGATATCAAACACTGCCGGAAATTTCTGAATGTGATAAAGTGCAGACTGAAATATAGCATTAAAATCTGTATTTATATTGATTCTTTAAATTTAATAATATTGGCCTGCAGTACATCACTTCAAATTTTCAATTTTATTTAAAAGATTGTATACCATATTTACTGAATATAACTATTATTGTAGAAGTGTAGGAGTAAACAACTTGCTAAATAAATAATAATAATAATAAAAAAAAAATGTGCTTAGAAAGAATACTTTTTAAGCATTCTTTTTATAATTTATTACAATTTAAATTTTTTTTATTATATTTCTTTTTATTTATTTCATTTCTTTATAAGCTTTGCAATGATTAATGTAGAACCATAAACTTATTTTATTAGATACAGTGTATAGGGTATGAAGGTTAACCTTCTGAAGATTAATACATATATGCATATTGCATATTCATAATATATTTTCTTTTCCAGTGAATCTTTAGATATGTTTTCAAAGCTTAAGAGAGAAGCTATTCCACAATGAAACACTTTTAGTTGCAAAAAGAAAGGGGGATTTGAATGTAGTCAAGTTTATTTCATGCTTTATTTGTGGTTTAAATCTGTATACTTGTTCTGACTTAATTCATATGACTCTTAATCATGCCAAATATTTGTATAATTGCATTTTGCTGTACTTTTGTGAAGGAAAATCATTTTAGTGTAATCATTATCATTTGGTGTTATACAAAGCTTGAACAATATTTCTTGTCATTCTGTATGTCTACTTAATATTATTGTTTACATGGCAAATTAAAGTTAGACATTTATGAATAATGTTTTACCATACTTTTCAGCAAAAATACAAGAAAATCCTTTGACTTGCTTTGGGGGATTTTGCTGATGAGTCTAAGCATTATATTTACAGTTTGCATTAATGATTAAATTAGTTACACTGCTCTTTCTGGATAGAATCTCCTTTTTCTTCATAAATATCATCTTAAATTCTTTGTCATTTACTCTGTTATTGGAACTGCTACTAAAAACAAAACTAATTACTATTAATAAAAAATATTCAAAACTAGTACTTGGCATTAATAAGTCATCCATCTTATTTTTTTAATAGTGAGGTTTTATTCTTTTAGTAGTGAGGTTTTTTTATGAGAATTATATACTTTTTCTTTTTTATGAAAATCAATTTCATATTTTGTTTCTACTTTAAATTCTTAATCTGCTTAATATTAATCCCCAAATTGAAAATTTCATATAAATACCTTATTCTCTGGAATATTTAACTTTGACCTAGTCTTCTAATTTCTCGTTTTGCAAACTGTATTTTTTTTACTACTAAGTGTACATATTTTTTGTAAAGGAAATAAAGTTCTAAAAATCTATTTTTTTGCATAGAAAATTGTTAAATACACTGCCTCTTTAACATGTATCTTCTAAACTATGCTTGTTTAATTATTTTGAGTTTTTCGTTTTTAACAGGTTCCACCCTAGGTAACATGCTCCTGAAAATATGTATATATTTTTGGGTAGATTAAAAGCATTATATATTTCTCCCTTTAGTATTTTATTTTTTATTCCATGCTGCAGGGAAGTAATCTTTTGGAAATCAAATAAATGCAGATAATTCTTGATTTTATTAGAAAAGAGACAATCTATGGTATCTTCAAGACAATTTGTGGTATCTTCTTGGTGAGTACAATAGCTATAAAGATGGGTCATGCTTTACCTCAAAGCATACTTGGCCTCTTTGCATGAAATCATTCAGAAGTGCCATTAGTCTGAAAAGTCACTTTTTGTCCGTAACACTTTTGTGTCTAAATTGGTTTTCAAGTTGTTGCCACGAAATGTTATTACAAAGTCTTATTTAAAAAAATAAATAAATAATCTCTGTATGTATGTGTGTAAGTATGTTCTTCACATTGCGGAAAAATGACGACGAATTGAGCCACTGAATTTTTAATACACAATAATCCTCCACTCAAATATGGGCACCTTGAAGTCCGAATATTAACTATGTTTTTGATTTATTTTGTATTTTATACAAAGGTAACAATTTTTTGTTTAAGAAACTGAGGAATTTAATGTTAAGATGTTTACTTTTCAATTTTAATCTACAGATTTCGCTATTTGAAAACAATATATTGACACTGCCACAAATAGAATACTTATTATCTATATGCATTTGGTGATGGCATTCAGTAAAGCGTAGATATTTTACTGTCAAATGTAATCTTTCTTTGACTGAGTAGCAAACCAATTGATTGAAATACAATAAATGCAGATCTTAAAAATATTTTTTTCTGGCTTTTTAATTTAAATAAAAATGCATTTAAATCATAAGATGTCTTATACGTAGCATATTCGGAAACTAAGTACCGTTTCATTCCAGCGCTGTGGTAGGCGTCCCGCGCATGTGCACTAGTCTTTCTTGTTCACTGACTTTCAATTATTGCCATTTTGTTTGCTCTATGTTGTGTTTTTAGTTTGCTGTGCACATTCAAAATGTTTAAGATAATTAGTTCTCCCGCTGACTGTGAGATTTGCGCCGTGATTAAATTTTGGAACGTGAGGAATGTTAAACCGGCTGAAATTTATCATAAAGTGACAGAAGTTTACGGTGAATACGCGATAAGTGATGGAATGGTGAGAAAGTGGGTAAGAATGTTTAGTGCAGGTCGAACAAATGTCCACGCCGAGGCTCGGAGTGGTCAGCCTTCTGTTGTCACCGATGATTTGGTAAGGAAAGTTGATGAAGCAATTCATGAGAACAGACGCTTCACAATGACAACTCTTTCAGAGGCATTTCCACAAATTTCACGTACTGTTTTGTTCGAAATTTTGTGTCTGACCGCTTGAATTATCGCAAACTGTGTTCCCGATGGGTTCCAAAAATGCTCACTGATGTTCACAAAACAAAGCGACTTGGTAGTGCCCTGACATTTCTCACGCGGTACAGTGATGAGGGAGAAAACTTTTTAAACCAAATTGTGACAGGTGATGAAACTTGGGTGTGTCATTTCACACCAGAATCGAAACAACAATCGATGGAGTGGAGACACACTCATTCTCCAAAAAAACAAAAGTTCAAAGTGACAATGTCATCACAAAAAATCATGTGCACTGTCTTCTGGGGATAGGAAAGGCGTTTTGCTTACTGAATTTCTTCCCAGAGGTGAAACCATTAATGCGGCACGATATTGTGAGACTTTAACAAAACTAAGGCGTGCCATTCAAAACAAACGAAGAGGAATGCTCAGTAAAGGAATTGTGTTGCTCCATGACAATGCTCGGCCCCATACTGCTGGTGTCACTCAATCGTTAATTCGACAGTTTCATTGGGAGCAGTTCGATCACCCGCCGTACAGCCCGGACTTGGCGCCGTCCGACTATCACTTGTTCCTGCACATGAAGCGCGAGCTTGGTGGCAAGCGCTTTGGATCTGACGATGACACGAAAAATGCTGTGGAGTCATCGTTATCGAAACTGGCGGGAAGTTTCTTTGACGATGGTATACAAAAACTGGTCACCCACTATGACAAGTGTTTGATCATTGGCGGAAACTATGTTGAAAAATAGTTTAAGACATGCATTTTCATGTAAAAATAAAATTGGATTCGAAAAAATTGTTTTACTATTTTTTTTTTCAAAATGGTATTTAGTTTCTGAATACGCCTCGTAGAAATATTAAATATTTTTATGAAATGACGCTAGCTAGACTCATTAAAATCATTATATACATTTTCTTTTTTATGAGAACTCTTTTAGGCAGCTAGTAGTGCACTCAAGTTTATATACTTTTTCTTTTTTTATGAGAACTCTTTTAGGCATATGGTAGTGCACTCAAGTAGCTTTTTTTCAAAGAAATAATAATGCAAATATGAAAAAAATGTAAGGCAACTCCTAACACTGTATCAGAAATTCTAAAGATGTACTGTTTTTAATTATTTTGGGATTCTGCAATTGAATTTCATGTGGCATAAATGTGAAGAAAGCAGTGCATTATAAAGTTAAAAAAAATTTAAAAATTGTTTTAGCAGGAGTGAGTCCAACCGCAGAATAGTAACCTGCAATGCTCAACGAGAGTGTAAAAAAACACTTAATAAATCCTTTGGTGCATCTGAAACCTCTCAAACTTACTTTCTTTCCTTCCCCCCTTTCTTTTCTTCTTCTTCCTTTTTTTTTTTTTTTTTAAATTTTTTTTTTTATTATTATTTTTAATAATATTTCTATCCGATGCTCCTACCTTACATTTGTCCCAAGGAGGCTAATAACTTTTGCATTGAGAATGAAATCCATAATAACCATTGTTATGTGTGCAACTAAGCTTGAGAACAAAGCCTACTCATTTAATTAGAAGTCTGATAGACTCTTATTTATTGCGAGAAGGAGAAGAATCTCTTCTGTTTGTCTAATATACCCGTACATTTTTAGTTTTCAAGTGCTACATAGTGTTTTGCCTTTCTTTATTTAAAATTTTTCTTTTTATATTTTCCATAACTTTCTATTAAAATTAATTGTGTATTATGTAAGATTTAAATATAATTATATTTCTCAAAATTAATTCTGCTTTAAACCAGCTATCAGACAGTCAGACTTTTTTTTTTTTTTTTTTGTTTAAAATAACTATTAGAGACTTTTATTATTATTGCTGTTGTTGTTCTTGTTATTTCAATATCATTTTGTTTTCTGTCATATCTTTGAATTATTTTGAGATTTTCTTATTTTTGATAAAAAGTTTAGTTAAATTCAATTCTACAAACATTTATTTTTTTTTTCCTTTTAATGTTGCTATTCAGTTTAAGATATTAACTTAATTTTGCATATTCATTTATTTGTTTCCCTCCTGATTAGAAATTCCCACCATTCTCTTATCAAAGATCTTTCCCCCTCCCTCTCTGACTTTGTAGAAATGAGTTGTCCTGGCATCAAGAATAATTTTATGGAATTTTTCGAGTAAATATCTTTTTTTTATAATATGTTACAGATGATTTCCTTCAGCATTTCTTCTTTAAAATATTCTAAATGAAGACCTGCTTGAGAGGCTAGTGAGTACTCCTGATCAGCAGTGGCTCAATTATAGGAAAACTTTTTCATAGTTTTTATGAATTTTTGATGCTGATTTTGACTATGTGTTCAAAAATTCATTGAATTTAATTTTTTTAATAGAACCTCTCTTTGGTATTACTATTCTGTATTAGAGTTCAATTCAGCTATCTTCCTTAACTATTGTTCAGTCTCAGTCAGTCTAATTGATATGTTCTTGTTCATGACTAATTTATCAGCAAATCAGATTGAGGTATTGGTGTTAAGTTTAAGATTTTCTCAAAAAAAAAAAAAAAAAAAAAAAAAAAATATATATATATATATATATATAGTTCAAATAGACAACAAAACTTTATTCTAAAATTTTTTTTCTAAAAAAGTGGGTATACATACATTGCTAGAAATTAAAATTGCTACATCAGGAAGGAAAGTAAATACAGTACAACTTTAATTACCTGAACTCCGACTATCTAAATTGCTTTCAGGATTTAAGAGAAAGAGAGAGGGAAAAGATAAGGATGATGTGTCATTTGAGGAATTAAGAAGCATTCTTTTGAAACTTCCTGGATGTTTAGAAGTTAGTGCTGAGGGTACAGCAGAATGGATGGTGTGTGATTTGTCAGACCCTGGGTGCAAATTCTAAATGATGATGAACTTATTGAAAATGGGAGAGAAGAAAGTGTCGAGAAAGAAAATCGCCTTAATGTCGAAGTTGAAGCAGACATAAGACCATCAGCTAGTGAAGTGTTTGCTGGCCTTGAAACTACATTGAAGTGGATGGAGCATCAGCCCGAGTGTGACCACATGCAACTTCTCATTTCAAGCGGATGCGCGACTTGGCTTCCCAAAATCGGATGAAGACAGTCAAACAGCTTACTTTGACCAAGATGTTAGCAAGCAGTGACTTTCAGCTCTTCTAAGTGTTGTACAGTATGCTATATAACAGCGCTGTCCAACTTATCATAGCCCACGGGCAATATTTTCTTCACCAAACATTTTGGGGGCCAAGAAGGTTGATAAATGAAAAGTCAGTTCATGTTAATTAAAAAAATATCTTATTTATACTAAAAAGAAAACTTTAAAATATTCGTAATATATTATATTAATGAGAACATTGTGGCCGTAATTGTTTGGCAACAAAACCTTTTATGTCCACATCAATATTTGTTGTGGCAGGTCTAATTATATCTTCAAGAGTGGAATCTTTCAAACTGTTTCTGTATTTTGACTTTATATATTTCATATCAGAGTATGCATGCTCACAGATATGTGTACTTCTGAACATTGATTCAATTTGAAGTCCTTCTCTTTATCTAAAAATTTGAATATTTCTATTCCAGTTACTCCACGAGATGTAAAAAGTGGGTCAGCCTGCAGGTCGCATAATTCTATTTGATATTTAAGATCAACGGAGTTGATATCAATATTAGTTGGATCACAAAATAAATCAATAGACGGTTTAAGATCATCAAATTGAGAAAAATCTTTCATTGAAATCTGTAATTAGCATATCCAATTTTGGTAGAAATATTTTAAAATTCGCTTCTATATTACATTCCTTCATTTCTTCATAGATCTCTCTGCAAGATTCAAAATTAAATAAATTATTTTGCTCCAAATTAAACCTTAACAATTTTAATTTGTTTCTAAATCCAGTAACACATTTATAAAGGCAACACATATTTTGATCTTGTCCTTGCAAGGATTTATTAAAAAAATTTAAATAATTTGTAATGTCCGTTAGGAATGCAAGTGAATTAATAAAATTTTTATCAACTAAATTTGCTGTTAAATTTTCATCGACAGCAATTTCTGTGAGAAAAAAGGTGAACTTCTTTTCGAAGTGTAAAGAA